AGTGACAGTGCAGTGTCTTTTCCCCTAGACCACCGGGGGCTCCCAATTTGTTTTATACATAAGAAAGTTTAGACACATTAATTATTTCTTCTGTGTTTATTTTGCAAACAAAATTTTTTATAGAAAGTTTTTGAAATGGAAATTCAAACAGAGTAGCAGTTCAAAACATAAAAGAAGGCATTTTTCCCAAAAAGATTCAAGTTGAGATCAAAGCTCTTAAACAGATCTCTAACAGGCTACATAACAAAGGTGATAATTTAAAAAAAACCAACACCTTAATCTAGATGCTACTTGGAAAACATGCAAGAAACAAATTCCTGAATTTTTCCATCAGATATAACATTCCAAAATGTTTGGACATTATCTCGTGTTTGGTTGTTTGCTTTTTTTTTAAAATGCATTTGTTCATATATGCTATCTAATATAGTCAGGGTATAGAACATAGGCATTTTGAAAACATTTCTCTTATAACTTTCTAGCAAAAGAAATAAAAACATACACTTCAAATAAAAGTTTGGATTTTTTCAAATCTTTATTTTCAAGTGTAAAACTCTGGTGATTTTGAGCAAGCAACTTTTGTTACTTTAAGTTAAAATTGTGTGCTTTCAGATATTTGTTACTTCAGGTAATCAACTTTGATGCTCAGATATTCCAACTACATTAGTACCCATCCTCCCACAACAGTGAATTGCAGAAGCACAAGTGTATTTATTTATTGGTCAAATGAAGCTGCTACTTAGAAAGCTGTGTTTAGTTCTACAAAATATAGACCAGAAGGGCCATCAAAGCAAAGAGATTAGGAAGAACTTTTGGCCACATTCAAAGAAGACTGTTCTCCTCGTTATGCCACTTAGTTCAGTTTGAATACATGAACTTGAATTCTGTTCATTGTGCTTGGACAACTGAAAGTAGAATTTGATTAAAGGGCACTAATTGAAAACCAAAGTGAGTGTAATTTAACACATTGACACGGAATCCAACATTGTGTACTTACAGAGAATACCATCCAGTACAAATAGTGCATTAAATTTTATATATGCCTTTTTTCTATCAACCTCTACAACAGAGATTTTATATAATTATTTTTCAGCTGCATCCCTCCACAATGGCTATCAAATTCACTTGGACATCTCAAAAAATAGGCTACCTTTACATCCCTGCCACAGGAAATAATTTGGACTTACAGGCACTTTAAGGTATTAGCGAAGATCACTATTATTCAAGTAACAAAAGCTGTGTTTCTTTTTCATCTTGGTACATTTCTTTAATAGTGTTTATGTAAATGAGTGTGTCAAACTTTTCTTCCATGGTCTCTGCAATTCTCTGTAATCAGTTGAAGAATGAAAACTATGGGTAAACACTCTTTTTCTTTTAGAACTGCAGGAATTGTAGAGAAGAAAACCAATCAAATTCAAGTCTTATGATATTAAAATTATTAATAAATAGGTATCAAACAGATAAAAGTAGCTGCAGCTCAGATTTTATTGAGTCATGTACTGATAACCCACTACTACAGAAATGAAGCACAGTACCCTGGGAAAGTAAATTTTACTGACCCAAAGAAGACGATGTCTAGCTTGAACTCTCATTTCTGTTGCTGACTTTGGTGACAAATATGGGCTCTGGGTGCCTCCTAAGTAGAGAATTCTTTACAACAGCTTTCTGCTACTACATACATGGGAGCTCTTCAACATATTCCCAATTTTAATTTTCAATAGAGATCAAACATTTGCTTTGAGTTGTATGCATGAAGAAGAGTTCTGTGTTTTTTAGCTGTTATTTAATGCATTGCAGGCTTGAATCTACAACCCACAAAAACTGGAAATAAAATATGTGGGGAAAAAAATCATATTTTTCACACATTTAACTGTAAAATCTGGTATGAAAAAAAGGCTATCAAAATATTCACGTCCTAAATTGCCAAAGACTAAGTACTTCTGTCATCTCCTGACAGCATTCTTGGAGCTCTTGTAAAAACATAATTGTACCAGATGTAAAACAGATGAAATATGTATTTTCATCAATTTAACAAAATAGAGAATAAAAATGTAATAGCTTTTACTTATTTTGTTTCCTAGCATTGATCAAAGCCAGTAGCTGCTTGCCAAAAAGAGAAAAAGACAGATGATTTTGTTCTTCCTATGTACTTTTTTCACATTAAGGAGTATTTCTGCATCTCTTCCTATTTTCACAGAATGAAATCACATTAATTCAGTTCATGCTGTGACCTTACTATAAAAAATTAGAAAGTCAAGGGCCTTTTCATAGTTAATTTCATAGTTAATATTTGGAGTAGTTTGGGGGGTTTTTGTTTATTTGTTTGTTTGGGGTTTTTTGTATGTTTGGGTTTGTTTTCATTGTTTTCCATGTCAGTGCTAGTCATATTTAGTGGTTAAGTGGTCTATCTTCCTCTTGGATGGCATAATGTTTAGTTGTTCTTAGTTTTGCATTGTTTCTTTGCTACCTAGAAAATTCAGATGGCTTCATTCTGAAATTTATTTTGATGCTGAAAGCCAAGAAAAAGAGAGAGATACTCAGTGAAAGGAGTGCTACAGAGTTAAATCTTAGAGTCACATATAAAAATAATCTCAGATGAGTATGTTAAAATTCTGTTAGATCTCGCAAGCACCTCCTCTATTCTCAGTGCTGTCTGCTGTTGACTGAATCTAAAGTCAAATTGCCTATGTACATTGGTAGTACACATGAATCTGTACACATGGATCTCAGGATCTATTTCTCAATGGTCTATTCAAAACAAAGGAAGGTGAAAGGAAAATTAATAAGAGAAATACAGCAGCCTGTGAAGCCTAGAAGATCATGAATGGGTATAGTAACATAGGAACAAAAAAAATCTGTAACCAAGAAATACTATGAAAAATTGAACGTTTGAAGACACCTTAATAATAACTTTTTCTACAGTTTTTTTCTACTCAGTGGCTTGATAACATAACAAGCATTACTATCAGTAAAAAATAGTATGAATAATAAATTCTAATGTGACTATCCTCTGCTAATTTTTAGTAGCGGAAAAAATCACTGTAATTAACTAACAAGCCCTATACATTCTTGTAGCTCCTTGGACATAGGCACCAAGACTTGTGATAAAGAAAACCAGAGAGAGTTTCTATGCTTTCAAGCCAACAGTAGAAGTTTTAGTAATAATACCTATCAATTATATTTCACAAATAATTGGACAGAACATGATATTAGTATTAAAGTGTTCTATGGCAATAAAAAGTCGAATTTCAGCCCAGGTACTAGGGACCATATGTAC